GTATGGCAGCTGGGAAGACAGAAAGAGATGGCCTCTGTCTGGGGAGGCAGGTGACTTGATCCGGGTCTGAAATGCCAAGTAGGAGGGGAATGAGGACAACATTCCAGCCTTAAGTAAATTGGGTTTGAGATGCTCATGGGACATTCAGACCAATTATTTTTTAGAATTAAATATGAAATGATCTAGTAGGGGTTGGAAATATAGATGTCTATCTTGCAGGGGAAAGGGTCAAGATTATCTCAGAGTCACCAGAATAAGACGACAAGGCCATGTGGAATTGAGTCTAGTTTACAGTATGGTACAGAGTGGTAGCAAAAGGTGGCATATAGCTAAGGGAAAGAGGCTAAGAGAGCAAGTAGAGAAATGCTACTAGCTGAGGAGGACACTTGAAATGAGCTGTGCTGGAGTCCTGGGAGAGAAGGCTAAGATGGAGAGAGGTCTCAGCAGGAGGAGTCAAAGGAGAGGGAGTGAGCCAAGCCCTCTATGAGCCTATTATTCTACCCCACCATTCCCTCAACACCCTCTTGTTTCCATTTCTCTCTGCTTTTGTCATGTCTCTGCCTCTGTCATCTGTTTCTGCTTCATTCCTATGCTGATGACTAAATAGACACTTGTCACAATGTAGGTACACAGTGACTGACAATTAAGAGAAATACAGGTATAGTATTGCTGGACTCCTTGCTAAGGGATTCTAATGTGCATCTTAGTGTTTCCAATCAGCCATTGATGATACCCAGTTAAAATGTCTTGGTTCTGGATTGTGTGATCCCATGTCCACACAAAGTGGGTCAATTTGTGGATCCCCTGCTACCTGCTATAGTTTGTATCCTAAATGCCTCTTTGATAGTCATGCTAGAAGCCTGGTTGCAAGCCTATGGTACTACGGAAGAGGTAGAACCACTGGAAGGTAAAGATTAATGGAAGGAACCTAGGGACATTGGTGGTGTCCTTTAAGAGGACGTTGGAACCCTGGCTTCTCATCTTTCTTTACCAGCTGGTTGCTATAAGGTGAACAGGCCTTCTTTGTAACATGCTTCCACCATGAAGTACTGTGCTGTCATGAGCCTGAAATGAAGAGACCAAGCAACTAAGGGCCAGGAAACTACTGGAACCAAATAAACCTGTCCCCCTTATGAGGTGATTTTCTCAAGTATTTTGTCACAATGAAAGGAAATCTGACAGACACATTACCCAGAGGACTGAGGTTCTCATTTTTGGAAGAGACTGCAGAAAGAGACCTTGGAGGGAAGCCCTGAGAGAAGTCTTAACAATGAAAGGAAATCTGACAGACACATTACCCAGAGGACTGAGGTTCTCACTTTTGGAGGAGACTGCAGAAAGAGACCTTGGAGGGAAGCCCTGTGAGAAGTCTTGGAGGCATAAAGAATTGAGGAGAGGGATTCCAGGCACCAGAAGATAACTGCAAGCCACAGGTGGGGATAGGATGGAATGATGGTACCACCATGTGGCAGGCATTGCCCACGCAGTCTCTCATTAAATAATTCCAATATTCCTTTCCAGTTGATATTTGAGATACCCATTTTGTAAGAAAAAGGAAAGTCACCGATACTTGCATTATTACCCGAAATTTTAGGATAAAATCTCAAAGAGGTAAGAAAGTTGTATAGCAGTCTGCCAGTGGCAGGCTGAGGGAAATCAGCAACCTCATAACCAATAGCCAAGGGAATGTGGCCTCTATGAAAAGCCACCAGATATAAAAACAAGTAAGACATATGAACAGGGTCCCCAGCTTATCAAACAAAAAAAAGCCCAAACAAACCACACCAGAACAAACCAAAATGATGCAAAAGACTCAATCTCAGTAGTCCTGATACACATGAGTTAAAATACAGTTTTATGGTTCATATTTATTAGCTACTTTTCTGTTGATGTGATAAAACACCATGACTAATGAAAGTTAAAGAAAAATGTATTATTGGTTTACAGTTCTATAGGGAGAGTCCATAGTGGTGGACAAGGCATGGCAGCAGGTAGCTAGGTAGAACATGAAACTGGGTGATCACGTTTTATCTGCACACAGAAAGCAAAGAGAGGAGGAAGTGGGGTGAGACTATAAACCCTCAAAGACTTCCCCCAGTGATTAATTCCACCAAAAAGGCCATATCTCCTGAAAGTTCCATAATCACTCCAAACAGCACCACTGGAGATCAAGTGCCTGTTGGGAACATTGCTCATCCAAACCATAAAATTACTAAAATTATAAACATATGAAAACTAGAGAAGGATATCAAGTTAAATATCTTTCTATAGTGTTGGTAAGGACAACTTGCTACAACAATATGGCAAAGCACATTAGCAGTATTAGTAAAGATATGCAAATGCTGTGCCCTAGGAATTCTTATGTCAAGACTCCCAGGGAAACTATCACATACCCAGAAGACATGTAGAAGAATCTTTGTAACAGCATGTCCAGTACAGCAAACACCAAAAGTCACTCATGTGACCATCGTCAGGAGAATGCATGTATGAATTGCAATAGATTTGCACAGTAAAATATACAAACAGATGGGCCACAGACACACACGGTGATGGGAAGCAGTTTCATAAACACAGGGATGTCCAGGGAAGAAAGAAAATCCCTTTGTAGACTCTAGCACCATTTATACCAGTTATAAAACCCACAAATCTTAGTTTATTAGACAGAGATCTAATGAAAACAAGGGCATCAACAACACAAAACTAAGCATGAGGCCTTTTTAGTGGAAGGTGATCAGAGAGATGAGATGAAGAAGAAACCTTAGCTTAATATCATTTCTATGATTTAGCATTTCTGAATATTTGGCATACATAGATCTTTCTATAGTTTTCCATTTAATTATTGGAATCATTTATAAGCCATGCTACCCCTTATACATTTAGATATTCAGTGTATTCATATATAAACAAATAAGCACATATTCTCTTACATAGATTATGTATTTTGTGAATATGTATGCTATATATGTTTGTAATAATTTCTGAAATGTGATTCATGTTGAAGGGACGAGGTAGTCCATAACTCAGAGGTATCTGAAACATATCAGAAGAAGGCAAGACAAGGGGCAGTTGGTCGTGTGAATATCCAGGACCCCACAGGTTCTCTGGGAAACCCAGGAGCAGCAAGGGCATCATATCTGCATCACCTGGGGCCAAGGATCTGTGGAATTGATGTTGAGTTGGCTTCTGTTCCAATGTTGTCCCTTTTGAGTCTGCTCATAGCTTCCTCCGGCTTACAATGTCATCATTCTACTTGCATAAATCTACAATGTGTCCTCAAGTTTTAGGTCAAATATTAGTTTCTGGTATTTGTTCCCCATCTCCCAAAAGCCCAACTCATACCAGGCACCAAGCAACTCAAGGTGAACTAGCTGTGGTCCTATGCTTACAGAACAGGGGTCCAGGTAGACACAGGATTAGACAATCACTTCATTGTGTATTGATAATGATAGAGCAGCATGCAAGTTCATTGTGGACATTTTCCCGAGATGACTCCTGGCCTAACTGTGAATATGGTAGACTAGCACTGAGAGGAGCACAGGGATTCTCTTTTAAGTAACCCACAGTTAGATGTAACCACAATCCCACTTGGAGAAGCAGTGTTCTTTAGCATTAAAATATGATAAAGATAGCAGAAAAACTTGAGGAAGGGAACCCATCTTCTCAAGCTGGATTGTAAGTGTATTAAGTCAGGGGTGGCTTCCAGAAGTAGAGCATCTTTTGAGAAATCCCACTGCATGATGGTTATCTGGTGAGAGTCACTTTCTCTACCAGCACTCTGTCCTGGATTAGGGTTTCTGCAGCACAAGGCCTGGCACTTGGTCTGTGCTTACACAGGCCACAGACTCACTTACTTATGGCCCGGAGAAAAGGGCTCATGTTTGGGCCTTGGGTTTCACTGGGTCTGGGGACCGACAACTCAGATTGTGCTGAGCGTCAGGGCAACATGCTTATTTAAGTCTGGCTGGTGTTCTAACTGAGTCAGAGACCATGGTAGCAGTGGCAGCTACAGTCAAGACACGTTTGAGGGCATTGGATCGATGGAGATATTTTCCCATTAGGGACCTCATACTTCTTAGCAACACTCTTGATTGATGCTCGAAGGAGGAAAAGGGACGTGAGCCAGTCAATTGAGAGGCTCCTTCCTGTTTCCAGGCCTGCAGCTGCCCTGTGGGCTCAAACAAGGTCCCTCTCCAAGGACCTCTTAATAAAATACCTGGCTTGAGTCCAGTCCTGCCAGGGGCAGACTGACTGCTGTTTGTTCCTTTTATTAAGCACATCCAGGTGGGTTTTACTGTGGATGAATCCCTGGGCTCTTGTTTCCACATTTGTCTCCTTTGAGCCTGAAATTGCCAATGGCCTTCACAGCTAATGGACCTTTCAGGTCCCAAGAGCCATTTAAGGGAGGTGCAGGACTGGGGGTAGTAGTGGTGGTGTCAATTAATCAAATGAAAGTTGAGCTCTGGGGCCACTAGAGCTAATAGCAAGAAGTAGGGATGCAGAGACCAGAAGCTCAAGTGAGTGGCAGATGTGGCAGACATCAGTCAAGGCATCTCGCTATTCCTCCCTTGCCCCTGTCCCATCTCCAGCACTGATCCTCAGAAGCTTAGCATCCTAGATCCCAGGGGAGCTGCAGGAATGCTGATGTTCTATCTGTGGCAAGATTCTGCCTCTTCCCCCTTATGCCTACCTACTGACTCTTGATGGAGGGCAAGTTTTAAGCTCAGGTGTGACTTCCAAGGGGGTCAGAACCCAGGTGTTATATAGCAGACCATTCAGCTCAAGTCCCAAACCCAAGTTTGAAAGTTAAGGATCCAAGGGAGGTGAACAATCTTTTCTAAGGTTTTCTTTCTGTGACAATGGATGGTTGATGCAGTGATACAATGACATACACATTCTACTAAGTGTGGAACTTGGCACAGTCACACTATGGACACTCTAAAAGTGTCTTCTCTTACTGTGCCTAGAGTGGGTCTGGCTGGGTAGGGCTTTTTCTGGCCTGTATGTCCCAGGAGACTTTAACGTCTCTGATTGTGCAGAGAGAGCAAGGCTTCTGTGGAAGCAGCCCTATTTCTATGGGGGACGCAGTGGAGGACAAGAAGGGGAAGGAAAGCACTGAGCTCAGCCTGCTGCAAAAGGTGAATGCGGGAGGAGGGAGCCCATACTTCTTGAACCCCTCTTCTCTACAAGGCATCACCACCTGTTTTCCCATCTCCTGGCTTCCTGACACCCTGCTGTTGTGTGAGGAAACAGTGTCAGGGATATGAAGTCACACAGTTTGAAAGATGGAGCCTGGCTTGGAGCACAGGGTCAGAAGGTCACTAAGTAACCATTGTTTCTATTCCATTTTGCAGTGGTACATGGCCAAGGTCAGTCCCTAGACACTTGGCTTGCTGTCTGCTATCTAGAAAGTCCATAGGAGGTCACTTATATTTCCCAGGATCAAAGCAGAGGCATTTAAATGCCCAACTTCAGGTCATTTGGGAAGGGGTTCATCCTCTTGTTTTCTCTGACTCCACAAGGGGTGTGAGCTGTTCTCCAAAGTAAAGGTTGATCTTTTAGGATGTGAGGACTCAGTTCTGCCTCCTGACTGCCATAAGCAGTGGCACCCTACTTTTCAAGGTACACAAGGAAGTTTTTTCTCTCCATCTGCAGGTAGATGGTATCCTGTGTTTGGCCGACATCTTGACTGATGACAGCCACTCAGAGGCCACTCGAGCTGAGGCTGCGGCTGTGGTGGCCCAGGTTACCTCTCCACATCTGTCCTTCACCCAGCATCTCCCTAGCTTCCTGGAGAACATGGAGGAGATTGTGACAGCCCTCATCAGTGAGTTATCCTGGGTTGGGTGGAACCCTTATGTGAGATGGCCTCAGCACAATTATCTTCAAGAAGGACCAGGAAGGCCTTCCCACCTGCTTCTCACCAAACTCACAATTGGCAGATAGTCACACTAGCTGAAAGGTCACCAAAAAGGAATCAGAGGCAGCTTTGAGGAACCCTGTAGTTAAGAGTCTCCTATTGAAATGCATGCAGCTCCATTAGCATCAATTTGAATAGTAGTTAGGGATCACGTGGCCTTTTAGAGGGAATCCAGATCATGGGGGTCTAGACTCAAACATTACTTCAATAGGTTTTGTTCCTAAAATTTCAGTCATTGCACCCAATGGCTGACTGAAACAGTGCTGATTAGCACAAATGACTTCCCAGAGAGAATTAGCTTGCTACAACCTGCTGGCCTCTGGTCTTGCATGTTGGGGCCATGAACATACTGACTCTTCTTGGTACTCTCATTCAGACCTATGAATGCTTGTCGGGAGAGAGATTTATAGTTCACTAGCTATAATATTCCCTTTCTCCAGTCTTTCCTATGCAGAGCTGCAGAAACTAGGGCAGATCTGGGTAGCAATGTCCAGAAAACTTGTTTGGAGAGTTCTGTGTTTCTACCTCCATTTATACTTTTGTTACTCACCATCTCTATCTCCTTCTTTTCATTTCAAAATGAAATGAAAATTAATTAGGACTCACTCCTGGAATTGCCACACCATGTCTGGGAATATCTGCAGCTGCCTGGATATAGAGACAGTGTAGGACACTGGGATAGGAGTTGAAACAGCTGAGCTTGGGTTCTGGCTTTTCACTTATCCATCAACAAACAGATACTGGCTGGCCAGCCTGTGTAGGATTGTATGTGATTCTGCCACTTACTTACCAGGACATCTTGTAACTCTCACTTAACATTTTCCTCCTACATGAGGGACTGCAACTCACTTCTCTAAAGGGGCCTTCTGGTTCTAAGATTTTACTGCCTGAAAGAACTTTGCATATGGGAGACATCAATTATGTGAACTTTATGGTTGACCCTGGCCAGGTCTCCCATGTGTCAGGTTTGGAGAGACAGACATCTACATTGATCCAAAGTCAAGAAACCCTGCTAGAGGGAGCTTGGAAGACCACAAAGCCCAGTGCTTACTCCATTGGAAAGGTGTAGGTCCAGAAAGGGTAAGAGCTTATGTTTAGACTCAAAAATAGTGTCAGGATGTACCATGTAAGGGGTCTCATGCTTGGTCTCCCATCATAGCCTGGCAGGAAAGAAATGACTTGAAGGGAACTAGATGGAAGAAGAAAACAAGAGGCTCTGAGACCTGCATTAAGTTGAGGAGCACACGCACAGACTAAATGTGGACAGGCTTGGGTGAACTGCAGTTGATTATTGCCTTGTGGGGAAGGCTGACACATTTTAAGATAAGAACTAAATGCTAACTGTGTAGAAGCTCCCCCAAATAATAAACAAGTCAAAGTGTGTATACCCAAATAACCCTTCACATTTGTTACCTGCCCATTCCTGTTTCCTTGTTCAGACTGCATTTATTCCTGGAGAAGGAGAACTTTTGTATTTATCCCATCCCCATGAAGATGCATTGTCCGGCCCACTCTCAGAGTCAGCAGATGGGGTATATCTTCTGGGCAGGATGCCAGAGCTCTGTTCTTTGGTGGGAAATAATCCTCCAATTTCTTGCCATTCCCTGGAAACGTTTAAAAATGAGTCACTGGAATCTTCAGTTTAATCTTCCTAACACATCCCAGGTGACTCAGACTGTAGTTCAAATAAATGTGCAGCAAAATTAAAAGGCACTTAGATGGCTGTGCTAATAATCGATGTGTCAGCATCAATGGCAAGTGCATGAGAATGAGGGGCAGAGTTATACCTAGGGACAAATCTATCAGTAGAGTGGTCCCATACCAAAGCCTGGATATGGAGAGGTGAGCTTGGAAGGAGTCAGATGCCCCCAATGATTTTCCCCTGTTGGGGGAATCAGGGGAGCATCAGCTGTGAAGAGCTTTTAATTACTTGGCTAATCTGTGGTTCCAGCCCTGGGTGATGAGATCTAGATGCTCGGTGGTCACATCTGGTCTGGTCTACAGAGACCAGAACTCCTCAGAGGCAGCAGTCATTATCTTCTCAATAGGACTGAAACCTGCATCTATGGGGGCATAACAGAAAATGAGTCCAGAGGCTGAAAGAAGAAACAACTGAAGTGCAGGAAGAACGGGGATTTTGGAATTGGGTTGGCCTACATTTGTTCTTCATTGGCTATAAGATCTCAGCAAATCACAACATTGGGTATTTAATTTATAAACTCACAACAAAATGGGATTACTCTAAAGATCAAATGACTGAAAGATGTGGAAACCTAAAGCAGCTCTTGGTCCAGAGTAAATGCTCAAGAAATTGTACCTGTGGCTTTTCCCATGAGACTCAGCTTCCAAATCTGTACATGTCCCTTTCTGCCTCAAAGATGGGTCCAAACACAGTGGTACAGCACAATGAAGACCTCAGGTGCTTGGCTGATATTCTTGTCCATCCCACTTTAGGGGGTCCTATAGAGAGAGATGCCAGCTGCAGTGTTAGAACTCCCAAGTATAGACCAGCATAGGGCCTAGCTCATCTTTGTCTCTGAACTTTCTTCCTCATCTGGGGCTGTTTTCTGGAGTGTGGCCTTCCTTTCTCTGTCTCCGTAGAAGTGTTACATGTGGGACAGGCTTGACCTGTCACATTCTGACTGGTGACCCAACTTACAGCTGAGACTGGAAAGTGAGGGCCATTGGGAGAAGCAGCACCATGGACAGAGCCTCTTGAGTCTCTCGAGGTGGGCATCTGTTGCAGGTTCTGTGAGGGTCAAGGGGCTGAGTTAGGTAATGGATGGATAGACACTGTCCTTCTAAAAGGCCTTAGCACAATTACAAATGGCAGGTAGGGACATTTGGTTAGTGCTGGATCATGACCACTGGACTGAAGAGGAGCTTGTGTAGTACTTTTGAAGCCAGATAACCTTTGCCATCTGAGACCAAAAGTAGATGCAGAAAGGTGGCTGGAAGGCAGAACCTCTGCTCTAACTTCAGATTCTTCCTTCAGGTAAATTTAACATCCTAGTGCACATCACTAGAGAGATGGGAATGCCTTCCTGCCCCATGGCCTCTGCACACACCACTCCTGTCTTTTAGAATATGTCCTTCTTCCAAATATCGTCATGACTGGCTCCTTTCCTCTCTTAAGGCTTCTGCTTTGCAGTCACATTCTTAAAGGCATCGTCCATGTGTAACCCATTGAGTCCCCACCTATTCTCTGCCTTAGCATTTGTTTTTCCTCTCATATTTATCAGAATTGACAATTATTTATAACAACTCTGCAAGGTTTTCTTTCTATTGCCTGAAAGCAGAGAATACATATCACAAGGGCAAGGGTGTGACCTGTTTGGTCCATCTTACCATCCCAAGAATCCATGTACCTAGGTAGAGTTCACTCAATAAAATACTTGCGGGTGAGCAGAAATCACATACAAGGTTACCAGTTTCAGCTCTGATACCTATGCAGAAGGCAGAGTTCCCTCTATAGTAACTAATTTGTTCATCTCCAAAAAGAGTATCAAGACTCGCACCCAAATAGTCTCTCAGAGCTATTGTGGGGTTCAAGGGAGATCAGTCATGTGCAAACACATGACTTTGAACTGTTCCTTCCTTTTCATTATCCAGAACTGTGCCAAGAGGCCTCTTCAGGGGAAGTCTTCTTGCTGGCCTCTGCGGCCCTTGCCAACATCACCTTCTTTGACAAAATGGCCTGTGAGGTGCTTCTGCAGTTGAATGCCATCCGTGTCCTCCTGGAAGCCTGCAATGACAAGCAGAGAGTGGACACACCTTATACTCGGGACCAGGTGAGAAGCCTAGGGAGGCTCAGACTTCCATAGTTTAGTTCTTAGAACAGCCCACAAATACTCAAGGTGGAAACATGAAGAGATCCAGTTCACACAGGCCTAGCTGTTTTCCTGATTGATTGGCTTCTGATGCCCAGTGCCTATTGTAGTTCTAGGTGTTAGGCATGGGCACAAGGCTGGAGGGTCTACCTCATGTTGGTCTTCATCGTGTGTCTTTTTCCTTAGCTCCCCTTGAGCCTCTCTCCCATGGGACCTGATATAGGGAACCTTCACCTTCAAGTGCCCTACCCAAGGCTTACTTTGCTTGTCAGATGAGATCCGGCAGGGGTGCAATAAGAACAAGGCCTTTGCAGACAGGTGATGTGGATTCAGCAGATCTTTGCTGTAAATGATCATGTTACTTTGGCCAGTTCATTCTTTCTGCATTTGTAAAATGTATATACATAATTACAGAGTCCATGAAGGGATCAGATGAACTAGTGAACGCAGACTCTTGGTATAGACTGGCACAAAGATGCTGTAAAGTGAGTGGATGCCCCATTGGAGCTCACATTGTACACAGCAACAAGTAAGAGGCTGCTGAGTATAGCCTCCTTATGTGTAGAATGTGGGGTTGCTTCCAGTATGAATGGCCCATGACTCTGCAGAGTCCCTTACCTGACCATGAGGAGTGGCAGCCCCCCTCATGAAGTCTCACCGAGGGTGCCTCATAGGAGTGAGAATATGGTTAAATAGGAGGCAAAGAGACACTCTCCCTGCATCTGGGTTCAGGAGGGTTTTTTTTTTCTGTTCCCCTGCCTGAGCCTGGCACATCTCCCACTGTCCTCAGGATGGCTTCACCTTCTGCCCTGGCTCTGAGCAGCCACTTAGCTAGAGAGAGCAAACCCATTAAAGAAACAAATGGCTCTTTGCTATGGCAGAGGGAGGATTAAGGTGATCAGAGGGCTCTCTGTAATGAAGACAAAGAAGATGAATTGGGCTCTGAAGTGCTCACCGCCCCCTGAAATACTTAAGAAATTAAATGCCCCGTGAGGCTTCCGGTAATGAGCATGCCAGTGACGCCAATGCTGTGCAAAGCCTCTTGGTCTTGGCTCTGCATGTACTTAGTGAACCTCTGTTTGGACAGTGATAACTCCTCCATCATCTGGGCAAGCCAAGTCCACTTAATTAGTCAAGCATAAGCTTCACTGGCAAAGCTCATTCTGTGCTCACCCTTAGATATAGACCCCAGAAGATAGCCAGGGGTCTGGAGTCTTCCATCTACTTCTGCTAATTTAGAAGATAGTACAGGTTATATCTGGGTATCAGGCACCAAGAAGATTGTCCTAGCCTGGAGACATAGCACATTTGGTGGAATATTTACCTACCATACACAAAGTCTAGAGTTGGATTCCCACACTGGGTATAGTGGTACATGCCTAAAATTTCTGCCCTTGGGAAGTAAGGGCAGGAAGATCAGAAGTTCATGGTCAGCCTCAGCTACTTAGAGTATTTAAAGCAACCTAAAACCATATCTTAAAAAAAAATATGCTGGGCAGTAGTGGTGCACACCTTTAATCACAGAACTCAGGAGGCAGAAGCAGGCAGATCTCTGGGAGTTCAAGGCCAGCTGGTCTACAAAGCTACACAGAGAAATCCTGTCTTGAAAAAACAAAACATAAGTATAAGAGTAAGAATCAGAAGGAGAAGGAGAAGGAGAAGAAGGAGGAGGAGGAGGAGCACGAGGAGGACGAGGATGAAGAGGAGGAGGAGAAGTAGATTCTGTTCAACTAGCAGTTTTTATTGCCCTGTGACTTCACACCAGAGACTGTGCTCTGCAGGGATCTAACCACAGGCACAACAGGGTGGATAGCCTCTAAGGCCTTGCATAAGCAGTGTCCATGACCTCTGGAGGGTACTTACAACAGAAATGTGAAAAGCCTTTCTGTGAATCGTTTTCACAGAGGCAGTGTGCTGCCTACATTTCCATAGACATTGGTAGTCTGCTTGGCACTTTAGAATGACCACATTTTGTACCATTTCTGGGATTTCAGTATCACATCCACTTATCATGAATCCATTGATCAGAAATGCAAATTATTGGGAGTTTTAACAGTGACTTGTGTCTCAAAAGCCCTCTGTAGTTTATAAGTCTCTGCTATGTGTGTAAGTAAGAGTAAAAACAACACAAGTTTTGGGGTTAGGGGCACTTTAGTTCAGATCCTGTCTCTGTTGCTTCCTAGCTGTGTAACCTTGGACCAAGAAATAATAACATTTCTTCTCTTCTCTGACCCTTATATGATTAAATGGGATTGTGTTCTTAAAACATTTATTTGGAACAAAGTAGGTACTCAGTAGTGAATACGGTAGGTAACTGCAATAGGCTAGGTTGGGATAGAGATGTCTAATTTAGGGCAGGAATGGGGTCTAGGACATATAGTGAATGCAGTGAGGAATGCTGTATGTGTGAAGTAATGAGTGGCATGTGTGGCTTCAGGTTGTGTATGAACACATACAATGTGTGTGTGTGTGTGTGTGTGTGTGTGTGTGTGTGTGTGTAATGTGTAAGGTTGAAAAGTATTATAAGCTGGAGCCAGGGAGATGGTTCAGTTAGTAAAATCCTTGCTGCTCAAGTATGAGAACACGACTCAAATCTGTAGAGCCAACATAAAACCTGAGCAAAGAAGCACATACCTGTAGTTTTGGTGCTGGAAGGAGGAGACAAGTGGATCCCTGGAGCTTGCTGGTCACTCATCCTAGCTGAGTTGCAAGCCCTAGGTTCAGGGTAGACCACTCAATGTACACAGGTGGAAAATGATTGATCTCTGGCTTCCACATGCATGCATGCATATATGAGCTCACACTTTATAAGAGAGGGAGGGAAGGAAGGAGGGAGGGAGGGAGAGAGAGAGAGAGAGAGAGAGGGAGAGAAGAGAGAGGAAAAGGAGAAGAAAGTGAAGGAGGAGGAAGAGAAAGAGAGAGAGAGAGAGAGAGAGAGAGAGAGAGAGAGAAGAGAGAGGAAAAGGAGAAGAAAGTGAAGGAGGAGGAAGAGGAGGAGAAGGAGGAGGAGGAGGAGGAGAAGAAGATTCCAGAGCCATGTTTGGCATTGTTGGCTAGCTTCTGATTAAAGAGTAATGTTAATTACAGTTTTGCGAATTTGTGAACATTGGCTCTTTTGTCTGAATCTGTGGGCAACATAGACGTATCCATGACTCACTGCTAGATGTACACCAGGTGTTCTGTGTCATAAGGCCTGTCAGGCCAGACCACCTGTCTCTGCTGGGCATATTTAACTTGTCTTCCATGCACTTCTCCAGGGCTATCCTATAGCACATCAGGTGAGGAGGAATGCTGGTGGAGTCAGGGTGTGGTCAGAGTGACTTTTGAGAGTGCTATGGAGGTGACACAGCCTGGGGCATGTCTTCATGTCTGCCTGTGAACAAGTATTTCTGGACCACTTGCTTTAGGGGAGCACAATGATCATTTTCCCTGTGTGTGCCACTATCAGATGACTTAGCCAACCCATTTCCTGCCAAATAGAAACATTTATTTTTGAACTAGTGACATGAGAGACCCCCTGCTGGTATGGGTTAATTTGCTATCCACTTCAATTTCCCTAAGGCCTTTGTATGCCAAATGAAAGATGATTTCAAGATGGCACTGAAGGCATTGGTTGTTTTCTAGCTAGGAAAGGCTCTGCCTTGGTTAGTTTTCTATTGCTGTGGTAAAACACCTGACTGAGGCAACCTATAAAAGAAAGAGTTTCTTTGAGGCTTATAGTTTCAGAGGGTTGGAGTCCGTGACCATCATGGCAGGGAGCATTTCAGCAGACAGACAGACAGGCTTGGTGCTAGAGCAGTAGCTGACAGCTCACATCTTAATCCACAAGCATGAGGCAGAGAGCACTGAATGGGGATAGTGTGGGCTTTTGAAACCATGAAGCCCACCCCAGTGACACACCTCCTCCAAGGCCATATATCCTGTTCCTTCTCAAAGAGTTCCACCAAATGGGAACGAAGTCTTCAAATATAGGAATGGGGATCATTCTCATCTGAGCCACCAAAGGGTCCTACAAATATGAAACCTTTCATTCCCTTGAGAGGATCTCCCATTCCTAGTACCTCTTGGTAATATCGGCGTTCAGCCCCTTCATGTGGCTGTCACATTGCTAGTGCTCCTTGAATCAGTCATTCAAGGTCTGGGTCCTTCCAGGCTCTTAAAGGCAAGCTATGCTTGGTTTTGTTTGTTTGTTTTTCAAGACAAGATTTCTCTGTGTAGCCCTGGCTGTCCTGGAACTCACTCTGTGAACCTGGCTGGGTTAGAACTCAGAAATTTACCTGCCTCTGCCTCTGCCTCCCCAGTGCTGGGATTAAATTCATGCACCACCACGGTCTAGCTGTGTTTGTTTAATTTAACAAGTGTTCTGGGTGATTGATAAAACACAGTGAATGCTTATAGTATTTTTATTTCCTGTGATGCTGTGATGCTCCACAGAGACACCCATCCCTATTCCCCCAAATCAATGAATAACTTATTGTACATACCAAAGGGGATTTTTCACAGAGTGATTCATTAAGGCTCTTAACCTATGAATTTTATCCAGTTGGGTTCATTGTAATGACACATACTTTTATGTGAAGTGGGGGGGGGACCAGAGTCAGAGAAAATGGCTAGGGTTATATTAGAATTCTTGTCTCTCATTTTAGGATAACGAATGTTGTGGGCTGAGTGGAAAGAGTTTAAAAAGTTGGGTTAAAGATTCAGTCCCCAAATTGAAGGGTATATGTGGTATACAGCCTTTTAAAATAATCACCTATCTGTTAATTTATTCATTTACTTAAAAATGTGTGTGTGGGGGGGTGGATATGCTTATGCAGATGTGTGTGCCTGTGTGCAATTGCAGAGTCTCTCCTTAACTTGAGGCTTTCTCAACTTGTCACTTGGATGCTGGTGTCCAGACTCTGGCAACACTAAACCATCTCTCCAGTACAGGTGAGAGAAATGGTAGTGTAAGTTCATGTCACACAGATTGCAGTTCATTTGGTTCTCTCCAGGAGCCCCCAGAATTAATGTGTGTGTGTGTGTGTGTGTGTGTGTGTGTGTGTATCTGTGTGTGTGCGTGCTTGAACGCACCTTAACCAAATATGATCTGTTTAGAACTTTAGACCTCCAGCATGACAAAATAATACAACTGCTTTAAGTTACAAAATTTGCAGTAATCTGTTATAGCAACAACAGGAAACATGTACCCTTTTATTAACCAAGGCACAGGAGGTTGGGTACCGTTATTAGCATCATGTGGATAATAAGAGTTGGAGCCGGGATCTGTGCCTACACCACCTCTCATCTATATTATTTCTTGAGGCCAAGTCTTCTGTGCTCACCAGGTAACTATAGAAGGATCATGAAAATCAGTTGAATAAGCTTGGGCCAGGAGAAACTGTAGACCTGGCTCCTGCTTTCCTTATCCTGACAGTATTGCTAGCTTGCTTCCAGCCAGGTAAACCAGCTGTCCTTAAAAACTGTAGTTGTGGGCCTGACTGCTAGGTGAAAACATTGGCTTCTTTCCCCTCTCTATCACAGTGCACACAAGTGTGTTTCAAAAGGGAGACTCCAAGCAGGGTATAATTGGCATTTATTCAAATTGTGCTTAATTGATTACTTCATCTGCACCTCAGAAAACCACATGGGGTACAGGCTCTGTAAGGAGGAAGTAATTTTCATTAACAGGATCTAAATTAGTCCAACACAAAGACCTACCTGGTGCCTGTGACTCAGCTAATGATTGCCATATAATGAACCCGTTGCTGCAGACAAAGGTTTTATTTTACTTCCTCCCTTCCTTGTTCCCTCTCTTCCTTCCTTTTTTCATGAATGTGCAGGTCAAACAAGCGTCTGTATTCAGAAATGCTTGTCTGGTGATGAGTGGGGCAGGGCAGCCCCTGAGTGGTGGGAATAGGCTGTGCTTCTGCTGCTATTAACAGTTCAGAGACAGCCGGATGCACTATAATCTGACAGACTTGACCCTTCATGTGTCTCTTACGACACTTTATGGCTCTTGGGGGACCTTCATTTCAGTGCTGCATCTACAACCTATCTTTTCTTTCTAACTTCTTTCACTGAGCCCACAAATATTCCCTGGCAAAAAAGAACTTTCAATATATGCTTACCACTCCTCTTATAAGACCCTGGGCATTGCAGTTGACTTGAGAATAAGGCTGTTGAGGTGTTTCCCTTTCTTCTTCCAGTGTCTCACTCCAATCTCTACTTACCCATCCAGTCCCTGACCAGTTCTGAGTTGGGAGAGCCTGATACATAGAGATACTGCCTTTATAGTCAGCATGTATTGAGAGGGAGGGGGAAATAGATATTCTATTACTATGATGACACCTTTTCCTTTCTGTTTAAGAGACCTTTTAGATGGTTTATTATGGAGAGTTATATGCTAACATTAAACCAGTTAAAATCCATCAAACTCTCATTCTTGGCAAACTCTGCTGTACCATCCATGCTGAGGACTGAAACCTCCTACTGTCCTCTGCACACTACCACTTGCCATCTCAGAGGCAGAAGCATGGATCCTGCTTAGACTGTCCAGCCAGCTTGAAAGAAGCTGTGTGGAGAGTGGACTCACACATGGGGGGAATACTTTTTTACTTCATTATTTGTTTCAGTCACCACCTGTGCACTCTCTCTGCTTCTATAGAGACAGGCACATTTGGTGAAACCACATTGTGGTTTCTTTTAGGAACAGTATTACAGGCCATCTCTGTTCATAGTGCCCACACTTCCATCCTCAGCTTGTTTAGTTTTTTAATTTTTTATACCATTTATAGTTTGGGCCTTTTGTTGGATATTCCTTAATCCATTATTTTTTGTGTGTGCCATGAGATCCCTTTATTGTGCTGTGGAGGACTGGAGTGTTAAAGCCTGAGAGACTGCAACCAATCCTGGATATCCATTGAATGTCAGTATCCTATCATTAAGGACAAAGTGCTTCAGTGGTGATCTGTAATTAAGATTTGTAGACCATAGACTTGTAAAGTGTGGCTAAGTTAATCTTTCTCATCAGAATCTACCTTTTGGGCATGCTGTCTGCCTCGATCTAAGCCTTTGTTCATTTCATGTTGAAGGTCAGTATCAGGAAAGAACACTGACACAGGTGACCTCAGTCAAAGGTGAATCAAAGAGTCAGGAGATCAAGTCAGAACAGAAGGGGTAAAGGGACCCAGAACCTGCCAATTTTGTCTAGCTTTTAGAAGTTAGGCTGAGAGGGTTCCTGCACCCAAAAAGCCGGGCCTCAGCTTCATCCAGTGTGAGGCTGTTGTCTACTGGAGGCCCCAGACAACCATCCCAAAGCCACCCACCGATAAATGGCCATCAGTGACTGGGACTTACATCTGAGTGGCAGGAGCCCACGAGAATAGAAGACAATACCAAGGAAGGATGGGCAGATGTAAGGGGCCAGGCTGGAGGGGAAGATATGCAGCCCCCACCTGACCTGCCTTCAGAGAGTACCATGAGAATTGTGTATGTCTATTTTAGAGTCTCTCAATTCCACTTTCCAGATTGTGACCATCTTGGCAAACATGTCTGTGCTGGAGCAGTGTGCCTCTGACATCATCCAGGAGAATGGTATGTTTGAGCATGCTCTGTGGATTATCAGAGTATATGATGCCACCTGCCTTTGTGCTTGTATAAATCCTATGTGCAGACATATATGTGTTTCATTTCTGTGTATGTACGAGCATGTACACATACGAATACATGAATGTGTACCCTCGAACACACACACACACACACACACACACACACACACACACACACACACTCACTCACTCAATTCTGTGTATAGCCTGGTCAAAAATGAAATGCATATTTGCCTTCATAGGCTTAAAACCTAGTGGAATATAGAAAACAAGAAGAGAATGCCAGGTCATGATAGTGGAATCAGGACAAAAAAAAAACTAAAAAACAGTGAGGGAGGCAAGATTGTCCCAAAGTGGGGAGATGTTGCTTTGTATCCTCCTTATTGAGTTTGGCCTTCATGGAAAGCTGATTATGGGAAGGAGTGAGGGAGAGGAGTGGGGGAGGGAAGCTGGGCTGCCCTCCACCACTCTCTGAGGGAATCTCCCTTCCAACTGGCCCTCTGTATATGTTCATGGTCAAGGAGAGTTGGAGCTGGGCTTCTCAATCTGAAGGCTGATATAAGAAGCCTCTGTCAAAAGACAAGGTAGCTGCCTTGCAGCTGGGAACAGGGCTAGGGTGGCTGGGGCTTCCTGTGACTGAGGAATAAGGGAGCAATTAGCAAGCAGTTGGAGACCTGAGACACTAATGAGAGTGAGCTGGGAGCCTGGGTACCTAGGCTCTCTGAAAGTCCCTTCCCCCAGGCTGCCCTGCTGTCTTAACAAACAGGCACTTCCCTGTTCCCCACTAATTGAAACACACCATTCTGTGTTAATTTCATGTGATTGAGCTAATAATGAGAAACTGTGCTGAGCCAGCTGAGGCCAAGAGGAGAGGCTGCATGGTGTCACTTGTGCTCTTCTCCTTCAGCACTTGGAGTCTTGGCTGAAGTGGCCGATGACAGCAGGCTGCCACTTGCCTGTGCCTCTGAGGCTGGGATAGCTGCCATCTGGAGAGTGCTTTTGTGGTTTACAAAGTGCTGTTGACTAACTCACTGAGTCCACAGCAGTGAAAACCTATCATGAGCACTGTGCTGGGCAGTGGGGATGTGGAGATTAGTGAGCCCCCACATTTGTCCTAAAGGCTCTTCTTGTCCGGAATGAGGGCCTGCCCTGGCTGAAAGGTTGATGTAAAAGATAGTATAGCTATTGGGAGGGGCAGGATGGGAGCAGAGCATGAATTTAGTGGGCTGGAATCCTGGCTGTGATTCGTGAACAGGATAGCCTCTCACTTGCCCCTCTGGAGAGTGGGAGCAGCAATGCAAGCTCTCAGTAGTGTGTGAGAATCACTGTGAAGAGTGTCAGGGCATTGTGTGACCCAGGATGTGCCCTGTACTAGGCCTGGCTTCAGTGGTAGTCTCATGGTATTTCACAGAGAAAGTTTGAGGAAGACAGTATTTGTAAGAGTGGAACAGGATTTGAGAGATCCAAATGGCAGTGACATACCCAGAGGCCACTAGAAGTCGAGAGACTACTGGGTCTTAATAAAGGAAAACCCTGTTCAATAGTCTGGGCTCCGAGAGCCCATTACTAGATCACAGGCTGTAAATGTAGATGCTTGCAGGATCCAGACATAGTAAACTAGATAAGATGGGCAAGGATTGGCTAGATCTCTTAATAATAGTAAACTTGAGACAGGTGTGGAGTCATGTGCCCATAATTTCTGATTTTGGAGGCTGCAGTGGAAGGAATTTGAGTTTCAGGTCAGTCTTGGGTACATAGTCAGTTCCAGGTCAGCCTGAGATACATAGCACATGCTCATCTTAATACAAAGTAGAAATTAACAAGAACAATAAGCTTCTTGCCATTTAGAAATGCATGTGGGGTCACTGTTTTCAATTCAGAAGATAAATGTTAGAAACCTAGCTTTTTATGGAAATCATACAACTTCATAAGTCTTGAAGCAACAAAATAAAGTAATTCAGAAGATAAATGTTAGAAACCTAGCTTTTTATGGAAATCATACAACATAAGTCTTGAAGCAACAAAATAAAGTAAAGCATATCTTTAGATCATGTCTAGTTTAAGTTCCAAGCTGGCTGGTCAGGACTAGGGTGATGAGGGGTGGGGGCTGCTCATACAGAAGGTAGGCCCCTGCTGCAAACCTGCACAATGGAATATATTTGAGAATACGAAGGAAAGGGCATTCCCTTCAGAAAGGGTGGGCAAAGGCAGGCTAGTGGCATGGATGTGGGTATTCTTTACAGAACAATCAGGAGACAGATCTGGTTTGGGGAGGAGGTAGGAGGCTCATGAGTGAACTAGATGCAGCCTCGATCTGTGAATGCATTGGCTTTAGTGGTTTTCTAGCCTGAAGTTGAGATACCTCCTGCCATGGGTCTGAGCACTTGTAACCTGTCTCAGATGCAGCCCCACCAGAGGTGACAAGGGAACAGTCATCCAGGTTCCATCCAGCACCCCATGCACTGTGTGCTCTGGGCAAGAAGCTTATCCTACTCTGGACCTTGAAGTAAACTACCATGGTCATGCCCATGAGGTCATTGTGAGGTTTGAGGGGACTGAGCATTTACTGTGCATATAACACAGTGTGAGACACATCATAAAACCCATAATGGTATTTTAAAAGTGAGGGTGTCTTCTAGTTGTTTTTTTTTTTTTTTTCAGTCTGGTGACTTGTGCCTAGAATTAGACAAATCCCTATGGTTGAGGAGAAGAAAGAGGTGACCATATCTGGCTTCCACCTCTGTTTGAGACTCCCCTACCCTAAAACCTTTGCTTGAGCCCTGCTTCTGTCTGTCTAGCTAATCCCAAGAGGAAAGCTGTATGCTAGGGGTGAGTCTAAACCATCCAAACTGTGTGTTGCTTCCTGCCCAGGTGTCCAGTTCATCATGGGCATGCTGTCTGAGAAGCCACGGTCTGGGACGCCGGCTGAAGTGGCTGCTTGTGAAAGGGGACAGCAGAAAGCTGCGGGGACTCTGGCCCGCCTCTGCCGAGACCCACATGTGGCCCAGGAGGCCGTGCGGCTCAGCTGTAAGTGATACTGGCTGTGGCTGGAGTGGAATGGGGAGCGTTGGATGAAAGTAGCTGTGTTTTCATGGTGGTATTAGTGGGCAGCATATTAGGACAATCTGGGGTGAACCCCACTCTTTGTGTGCTGGGAAATGCTGGGGTAGAAGGCCGTGGGCATAGCCCCTAGTCTAAATTGTAACAAGAGATAGTCCAGCAAGGATAGGATACTGACTCCCTGCCATTCAGAACCCGATTATTTCCTTCACATCCATTTGCTCATTTATTCATGTAGTTTTCACTCATTCTCCACTCATTGGTTTATGCACTCAGTAATTCATTGATTCAGTGACCTGTTCACTAGTTCACTTACCTTCAGAACATCCATATTTCTCTCTACCATTGTTAGCTTCCTATTTGCCTAGATATTCCCAGAACCTCCATCTTTTGCTAAGCTTTAAAGCCGTGGTTCTCAACATGTGGGTCTCCACCCATTTGGGGATCAAATGACCTTACAGGATTTTCCCAAGACCACCTGAAAACACAGATATCTACATTGCGATTCATAATAGTAGCAAGATTACAGTTATGAAGTAACAACGAAAATAAGTTTATGGTTGGGTTCGCCACAACATGAGGAACTGTATTAAAGGGTCACAGCATTAGGAAGGTTAAGAGGCACTTTTTTAGAGGAATACAACACCAGCCCCTAGCATAGGGTGGTCTGCATGTGAGAATCATGAGAGCAATGCTCCAAGTATATGTGGTGGACAGAACAGGCCCTGCTTATCTGGGTGTGTGGAAGGATGTTGTTAGCAAGGCCAAATATCTTCTTTGTGGCTTTTGGTGGCATTTTCCCAATAAATAACTAGGAAATGTTAATGGGGTCTATAGTTTTCTATACTTGAAGCTAAAGTCTATTTTCTGACTGCCATAGCCAATTAGAGGAATACACAGTTGTGAGGCCCCAGTGCACAGGTATGAATGTTAAACACTGTGCTGGTAAAACTGGATGTATATGCTAGCAAGTCCTTGCTCAGAGAAACAGGCAGCATGTCTTCAGCATTTACCAAAGATCAGCCCAGGCCACTGCTCTGGCATTTGTGGGTTTGACTTGAACCATACTTTTCTTGACCTTGAACAGAAAGTAGAAAGTCTCCTGGAAATATTCCTCCAGGCGGGTTCAGCTTCTCCTCCACAGACTGGTGCTAATATGTACTGTGGGTGAAGCTGACCAGCACTGCGGGGCAGCCTGGCCAGGCTTCCCCAAGCCAGTTGTGATGCTCTCTTTGCATCTTGTGCAGGTATGTCTCGCCTTATTGAGCTCTGCAGATCCCCATCTGAGAGGAACAGCAGCGACGCTGTGCTTGTGGCCTGCCTGGTGAGTTCTCAGCCTGCCCTCAGCTTCCACAAGGCTTTCAGGAAGGTAGACTGAGGCCAGGGCAGCTCGTTCTACCACAGTTGAATATGCCTTCATACTTCTCCAGGCTTCAGGTTTTATATTAAAATGGCAATGCTGATACTTTCTATTTCTGTTGATTAAGTTGTAGTGAAAAATCAAGTGAAAAATGAGGAGGAAGAAGCTGCTCCCCATCTAATCTCCACAGCTCCAGTGACCTTTTAGGTTCTAGGGACTCACAGCAGCATATTAACACTGGTGAAGTGAGCTGAGGGCTGCTACATGGTGGTGTTGATGTCATGCAGCTTCCAGAACACAGGGGCCAGGAAACAGAGAGCTGTCTGTCCAAAGTGAACAATTACAAGAAAGTCCACTTTTACTCCCAAGAGAAACCCTCAGGGCCCTTCCCACTGAGTAGCTGCACCATCTGCTATGGAAATGACTATAGTGGTCATGGCAGGACAGAGAGGGATACTTGCCCAGCCACTAAGATATTCTCCCTGAACCCCAACAAGTGCATCCTGGGAGCTTCTCACTTCCTGGTACTAGGGAACTAATCAACAGTAGCAGATGGGAAATGCATGCTTTGTTCACATTTATCTACCTGTGGAGCTGTGATGAACCCCAGAGCAGAGTGGCAGAACAGCTAGAAGTGTGGCGTCACATGGAAGTAGTTAGCTTGCAGGAGAGAGAGCCAGATCTTTGGTCCTCAAAGAACACAGGGAGAAGCAGTCAATGTAGGGTTTCAAGTTGAGACTTCACAAAGCCCTCTCCTCGCCCCACTCATCACTGAGCTCAGTTTATGTCTGGGAGTTCTAGATGGACACCATGAAGTTGTAGAAGCAGTTGGCATTGCCGTCAGCAGGCCTGTTCTGTTTGTGCTTTGGTGAGCTCTATGTCATTGAGTAGGTCAAAGTGCTCTCTTATTCAGTAACTATTTGCAGAATGATTTTATATGTCACTTTCTCTTCTAGGCTTTGGGGCTATAGTTGTGGAGATAGGAGAGCTCTCTTGCAACTTGTACATTTTTGGAAGTCTGGAGAAGATTTTTAACCTCTGTTAGGACTCTTTACTTGGCAATTTTATACATGTATATAATGTATTTAAAGCATATTCACCCCTATTAACCCCTTCTCCCTCCATACACTCTGATTCCTTATTCCTAAAGAGCTCCCCTCCCATTTTCTCAATAATTTTTAAATGAATCAAAAAATTAATGTGGAGTTTTTAAAAGGGCACCAATTATGTTAAAACCACTATTCAATATTTATGCACATAGCATATTAAAACCATGCTTGCTCATGGTAGTAAATACTGTTAGAAGGCAGCTTCCACATCTCTAATGGGGGTCTGCAGATATCTGTGATTTCCATTATAGAGCAGGGCCAGAGATCAGCAACACTGACAACTGGAGATTCTGCTTCAGTGAGGAGTTAGTGAAAAAAGAGATAAACCCTTTTTTTTCTCCTCCAAGTTCACAGACATTCTTAAGTCTATTTTTCTATCAAACAAAATGGGGAGAAATTCACAGCTGACAAACACATAATGATTGGCCCCAACTCCCTTATCTTTATGGCTCTGGCAGTAGCAAGTACCTGACTGAAGGGCTTGACAGGTAAAGTCAAGGGTGTAGGGAGCAGTTGTGGGGGATTGTGCTATTACTACTGGCATTTTTCTCCAGAGCACAAAGAAGGTTTTGCCTGCCATCTCCAACCATGCAGAGAACTTTGAGGTGGAAAGGGACTACAGTTGTTCTCCAATGTTGAGGAGAGCCCCTTCCTAATCCACCCCTCCATGTGGATGCTGAGTGGATTTTCCTAAGAGCATTTGCCTCACAATGTTTTCATCAAACTTGCACAGAATTGTCCATGGTTCTCCATTATTTACCCTACCTACTGTCTACTCACTCAGTCCTTTGTTTGGAGTGACCCTGCTTGGACACTCCTGGGGGGGGTGAGAAGATGCAGCACCAATGACTCAGGCACTGGGAGTCAGTGAGTTGCAGAGCATGCTGCAGACTCATTTATTAAGGAAGTTAGACCTACATTTATACCCCTCCCAAGGTTCTATTGGCTCAGGTGGCTGACTCTGCTGCATTGTCCTTTCCTCATTGGTATCTCTGGGTCAATTGTTTCTTCCTCAGCAGTCTCTGGGTATAGAGGCAGGTTTGGCAGTCTGGCCTGGGCACCTGTGGCTTGGGTAGGCTGGTGGCAGTTTTTCCTATACTTCTTAGCATGGTTCTGACCTGACATTGGGACCTGAAAGCCTCCTACCTTTTCCATGTCTTGTCCAACTCTGCTTGGAAGTATTGTCTTTCCTCACATCACAAACAAGCACCATCTCTACAACTCTGTTTGTTCATCTCTGGAGGTTCAGATTCAAATATCCATCTGATGATGTTTTCCAGGATCCCTCTGTGATACAAAATCAGAGAGTACACAGTGCATTACATAAGTTTCCCTGCTTATCTTTTTATATAATCCCTATAACTCATGTTCTAGACTTAAATTCTCTGGAGGCCTGGGCCTTTTGAATAGACCCTCTTGTTTCTAACCATGCTCTTTCTTTTCTACTCTCTTGGCACTGGTCTCACTATTTTAACTGGAGGAAGATTTCTATCCCTCCCCTAATTCTAGAATGTTCTAAGGGCAAAAACCTTTGTATAGACCTTTGTATTTTTACATGACCTTGAGTTTGGATATTATGTCTTGATGACTTTGCAATTAGTTGACTTACTGCCATCCCCCCAGCCACCAATACGGTGGATGTCCACTGCTTGGCTTATTAAAGGCTCCAACACTGAGCTGCCGGCCTCTGGGCAGCAAGATGAGAGATGCATGGAGCCTAGCCAGGCTGATGGAGTTGGGAGTCTCTTTTCTCTTCCCAGAGTCTTCTTTCTGGCCTGAAGACTGTCTCAGGTGAGAGGAGGATAATTCTATAATTATGTCCTGTGTGGAGGCAATGACAGCATGGATTGCCTCTGGCAAACAGGATTGATTTTTTTTTCATGGCAAAGCAGCCAGCAGTAGGCAACTGTCTTCATTTAATACTTGGGTATTTGTGAATGAGAGCCACGGATGACTGACTTAACTCCTAAGAAAGGAGACTCTGAGAACAAGGCTTGGGGAGGGTGCAGGAACAGTGGCTATGCACACAGAGAGAGGGCACACATTGTTCTCTTGGTAGAGTAGCCAAGGATGGCTTTGCTGGGGAGCGGGGCGAGAGCAGATGAATCCTGCTGACTAGGAAAGAGCAGGAGGGACATGTCATAGTGAAGTACATACACAAGGCACCTGCCTCGGAGCAGAAGTGAGCCCAGCACTCAGTGGGGTGAGTGGGTGGGAGTTGTGGGTGGGAGCTGGTCCATTATCTGTCTCTTCAACTCCTGCTTTCTCTTCTTTGATTTGGATTTCTCAGCCACAGCCTCCAAATGTACCTGGATTCCATGTTTCCCATTTTCTTCCTCTTCCCTCCCATCTCACAGTGCTCTGTGAAAGACTGGTTACATTTGTGGGTGAGTGAATAATACTGGTTTCTGTAAACTACTCAGAGCATCTGGAAACAATAGTTTGAGTCTATGAAGGCTTCTGGAAGTCCCAGTCTCTGGCAAGAACACATATTGAACTTATATACATCACTAAGTTGACAAGATCAAAAAAAAAAAAAAAAAGAAACAGCAAGACCATTGTTAAAATCATTAAGAGCTTCCAGGTAATGCCTGTCATACTGGCTCAAGTGTAAATGAAACCAGGTGACCATGGTGAAAAGGACACAATGGTGACCAAAATGGCCACTAAAGTATCAAGGAACAGGTATCAGGTAATCAGATCAAATTGCCTGGTTAATGTAGTGCATTTCTCAAAATGCATCTCTCAGGGCAGCTGGAGGAAGCACAAATGTGCATGGGGCCCAGTGTGACCTGAACCTTACTATCTGCTTTTCCCCCAGGCTGCTCTGCGCCGGTTGGCCGGGGTCTGTCCCGAAGGCCTCCAGGACTCTGACTTCCAGCAGCTGGTCCAGCCGCGGCTTGTGGATTCCTTCTTGCTGTGTAGCAACATGGAGGAGAGTTTTGTGTAGTGAGTGAGAAAGAGGAGGCACACTGTGCACACATCTCAGAACAAGGCTAACTCCCCTCACCACCTTATTTATAAGTAATTTATTTTTTTTTACATGAAATAGAAAGGGAAATCTTCATCAGTGAGCAGATGAGGTGGTTCTCAGGAATCATTTTGCATTTTGTTTTACTTCCTGTGGCCGTGTGGGTGCAGAAGTTGAATCGTGTCAATGCTAACATGACAGGTTGTCACAGGTGATTCCCCTTCATAACACTTTCTTTCTTCTAAGCACATATTCTTGCCCATTAAAAAAGAAAAAGAAAAAACAACAACTTTGAACCAGGGTATTTTAACTGCCCAGCATTTTTTAAAAGTTAGTTTTACTCTTTTCAGAAGTTTAAAGTGAATTTCACAGTTGGACAGATATACTGTAAGGAAATGTTTGTCTTTAATAAATGGAATTATGGAAGATGTGTTCTTTTTTATTTTCTGCTTGAATTGTATTTTAAACTCAGTTTTTTGCTTCTCATGGTTGCATGCTTCAGGAACTTCTCCAGCTGTTAAAGTACAGAGAGCTTTGTCTTGTTTTTATATGTACATTTAAAAAGTGTTTCTGAATACACTAAAACTCAGCTGTCCTTGGTTCTTCCACCCTGGTGAACTATCACCTCTTAAGGAGAGTCCTGAGCTGAGGCACAGTGCATGAGTCCTCCGCAAAAGGATTCTGGGAAAGATGATGCCTGAGTGGCTTGATACTGAGAATTTCTTACCAGGTCTGTGTCCAGTGTTCTCATGGTCATAGGTTGCAACTGACTATGGTGACAGTAGTCACACCACAGAAATAAGCCTTTTATCTCTTCAGTGAGCTACTTTTTCAATATCACTGTTCAGAAGTATTAACAGATTTGTGAGTCCTGAAAGCTACGATGTCATCATGTGTGATATGATTTTATTTACGTGTGTGTGTGTGTGTGTGTGTGTGTGTGTGTGTGTGTGTGTGTACATGCACATGCCATAGTATATGTGTGGAGTATATCACAAAGGATAACTTGTGAAAGTTGTTTATGTTGTTCTAACTGTGGGTCCTGGGAATCCAACTCAGGTCATCAGGTTTGGTGACAAGTTCTTTTACCATTTAAGCCATCTTGCCTGTACCATGGTATGATTTTATAAAGTTCAAGAAAGATTTGTTGAACACCAAATTATTGATATTAATCTAATGCATCAGGTCCTGGGATAAGCATCTAATATCTCCTTTATCCCTTACAATAATCATATGGTCATTCATCACTGTATGCAGATATACTACTATGCATGATCATATTATTGAAACACTTGGCTAAAGGTCAGTAGCTTGTAAATTATGCTGGAATATGAGTCTGGCAATTTCTATTGCCAGAGCCATTGTTGTTCTAAAGTCTCAAAAAGAAAAGTGACAATGACAATAATAGTGGGAAGCACTTGCACATCATTTACCATGTCCATTCTTTGAAGCTTCTATGTTAATTTATGAATATATTAATATTGGCCTATATATTATTCATTTAGTTGTTTTCTAGCCAGGCAAGACAACTTTACAGATGAAGAAATAAAGAAACTCTCTTCACTGCTCACACAATGGAGTTCAGACATCAATAAACACCTGAGTCCCTGTCCAAAGCTTGCACATTTAGGAAGAAAGTTTTATATTTTTATAGATTTTTTTCCATTTTTAATTTAAAATCTTTAATTACTACTCATATTTACATATCCGTTCCCCCATTCCCTCGCCCTCCCATCCTCCCATGTTCCCCACCAATCCCCCCATAGCCCATCCCTCAACTCCTCCCCAGGCCCTCCACCAGGGACCTTCAAAGTCTGTCATATCATTTGGGGGAGGGCCTAGGCCCTCCTTGCTGTATCTGGGCTGCAATAGTATCCCTCCATAGGGAATGGGCTCCCAAAGTCCATTTGTGCTCTAGGGTTAAAGACTGGCTCCACTGTTAGAGGTCCCATAGACTGTCTTGGCCTCCTAGCTGCACCCACAAAACGAGGGCTTGGTTAGGCTCCCCAGCTTTATGACTAGGGTCTCCATGCTCTCACTAGGTCAGGTCAACTGTTTCTGCAGGTCTCTCCAGCACCATCTTGGCTCCTTTACTCATCCTTCCTCCCTCTCCACAACTGGATTCCAGAAATATGGTTTAGTGCTTTGCTGTGGGTGCCTGTTTCTGCTTTGAACAGCTACTGGTTGAAGGCTCTCAGGGGGCAGGCGGAGGGCCAACTTAGCTTATTGTTTGCCACTGAGTCACTACTGTTCTGGGGAGTCCCAGAAGTTAGGGTGGGGCTTTACTGTGGGGGCGGGGCTTTACTGTGTTTGTTGGGGGTGGGGCTTTACTGTTGTGTTGGGGGCAGGGATTTACTGTGGTATGAGGGTGGGGCTTTACTGTTGGGGGCAGGGCTTTACTGTGGG